CCTCTCCTCCCTCCCTCTCCTCCCTCCCTCCGTCTCCCAGTCCCCCTTTCCTCCCTCTCCGCCTCCTCCTGTGCTCTGTTCAAATCTGTTGAGAGCTCTGATCTTCGGTGAAGGTCCAGTACTATAAAGGATTGAATGTATGTAGAAGGTAACATACAAAGATGGAGTCTTTGTTTTAGAGTTGTTGACCTGGGAGTTTTTTAAAACAATAATCTCCTTTAATCTTTATCTGTTTTTTGAAGCGTGGTAAATACTCAGTGTGACTAAGTAGCTGAATTAGCTGGTTGTATGGAGCCCCCCAGTCGTACTGTATTGTAACCCAGAGTGTACACTTGACACCCATTCACTGTGAAATAGGTTCTGTATTTCTTTTTCCTTTTGATTACATTAGTTCTCTCCCTGTTCCTTGTAATCATAGTTTTAAAGATTGACAAGTAAGGAGCCTTGTTTACTCACTCACTTGGAACTCTTTCTTCCAGCTTCTTGCCTGAATTCATCAGTGGAGACTTTGATTCCATCAGGCCTGAAGTTAGAGATTACTACGCTGTTAAGGTAAGCCATGGACACTTTTGTATGCAAGATATTGCTCACACGATTGCTTTTCTGGCTTCCTTGGTGTATGTGTAGGGATTGAGAAACTGATTGGTTATTTTTACAAATGTTATAGTAATTTTAATACACATTCAAGCAGAAATTTAGAAAATGACAGGTAGAAATACAATTTTAGAAATTCAGCCAGCATCAGGTAAGCATTAATGCTCAGTACTTTAAGCACATATATTTTAAATAAGTTTATAGTTTATTAAGTTAACTTAATATACTGTTATTGCCTACCTCCTCATTAGTTCTATATTTCTCACAAATCACTTTTCATTTCACTGAATGAGTGTACCATATTTTACTTAACCAATTCCCAATTGATTTACATTTGTGTCCATTTTTTGCTTTGTAAACTAATAAAGACATCTTTGTAAGTGAATTTTTATAAAAATGCATAATTATAGAGCTACAGCTTTTTTCTTTAATATTTAGTTTTTTGAAACTATTATTACCCTGTTCTGAATAAACCTATTCATTATATGTAGTTTTTTGAAACTGTTTAGTTTTGTGAAACTATTATTACCCTGTTCTGAATGAAACTATTCATTGCAACTTGAAGTGAACAATAGCGCAGAGCTTACAGTGCTCATCTTGGTACTGCTGTTGTGAAACTCTTCCAGAGATCTCGCCAGTAGGGAACATGCAGACGAGCTCTTTGAGAATGATGGGGAGACAAGGAGGCGAATGATAGGGGTCAGTTACTCAAGCTGTTGCTGGCTTTAGAGTACAGTGCGGAGTTGTGAAAATGAAAATCACAGTGTCAGCAGTTCTAGCCCCAGTACCGTCATCTGTGTTATTCTGAACTGGCGTTAGCAAATTACACATATTTTAAAAAGAAACAGCAGTTACTGAAATATTAAAACTTTAAATTCTTTATAAGGCTTGGGGGTGGGTGAGATAAAATCAAAAAGAATCAAAGGGAATCCTTTTACAGGGAGGGAGGGAGGAGAGAGGAGAAAAAAAAAAGGAAAAGATGCTGGGGGGCAAAGGTAGCAGGTTTGTGAAGTACAGGCTGCCCTGCTGAAAGCCCCAGGCTGGCAGTGACGAGCTCGCTGCACATCCATCTGCCCACCTGCTGACCAGACTTCCCACGGGCAGATGAAGACTGTTCCCGAGTCCGTGTTTATCGATACTATAAGTCTCCATCTTCTGTTTACAAGACGAATCATCTGTCCGGTGGTACCTACACCAGCATTGTCTTATATGATAAAAAGCACCGTAGGTGTTATACGCGTATTATTAACACTAGACATAAAAAGTGAAAAGGTAATTTCACTCTGTAAGAACACAGTTTGGTACTGTGACAGGGTCAGGAATCCGGGTACGCGATGTGGGCCAAAGACCCTGATAGAATCACAGTTCTAAAGGCAAGACTTGATTGAAGAGAGGCGGCCTTACAGTATGTGCTCTAGTTGTTCATGCGGTGCGACTTAGTACATCTTTATGCCTGTTTACATTCTTCATGACTGCAAATGGCGCCACGTACAGTGTGTGCATAGTTTTGATAAATTTTAACTTTTTAAATAGATTTGTATATGTTGTGGTAGTAAATGATAAGATAGACTATATCTACATATGTTTTATGCATTCATGGCATACTTAACTTTTTCTTAATTTTTTCCGTATTTCATGGCTATGTTGTTGCAAACCTCCAAAAATTTTTTCAATGTATTTATTGAAAAAAAAATCCACATATAAGTGGACCAACACAGTTCAAGTCCATCCATTTTGTTCAAAAGTCAGCTGTAGTTATATATTGTTGTGTGACAGTTTATCCTAAAGTTGATCAGCTTAAAACAGCAAACAGTATTTATCTCACAGTTTCCCTGGGGGAGGAATATGAGAGGCCGTGTACTAGGTGTTTCTGGCTCAAGGTTTCTCATGAGATTATAATGTAGCTGATTTTCAGTCTCCTCAAGGCTCCACTGGGCTACAGATTCTCTCCCAAGGTTATTCATGTGGCTGTTGGTTGGGCTCACTGGCTGTTATTTCTCCCTGGCGACTGGTCGGAGGCATCGGTTCCTTGCCATTGGGCTGTCCTCACCGCGGCAGCCTGCTCTCCAGGGAGACTGAGTGAGGAGAGAACTCGCCTGCAGGAGAGCCAGCCGGGCAGAAGTAGCTGTGTTTTTGATGACCTAATTTCAGTCATGATATACCATCTTACCGTCTTTTCTGCCAGATGCTAACGCTGCTGCACAGGGCTGTCAGCACCAGGAGGCAGGGGTCGTTGGCCGCTGCCTTCAGGCTGGCTGCCGTACCACCTGACTGGCCTCGTACTGACAAAGCCCGAGTGTTCAGCAGTGAGAAGGCCATGCTAATGATGGCGCCCTGCATTCTCAGTCTTAAATTAGTAATATGTAAAAAGAAAGATGAAAACATAGCCATTAACAATTTTTGTTTAATTCAGTCTTTAATGAAAACTGCTTCAAGATAAGTTACATACCAGCAGCCCAATTACTAGTCTTTATGTCCATACCCCTTAGTTATTTTTTTCTTTGGGATTTGGACAAGTAGGGGGAAAGCTTTGATCTACCACTGAATCCCGTACGGTCCATAGGGTAAGAAACTAGATACACAATTTACCCCTTTTGTTAGTTAACGTGCAGCAGTTTGCAAACTGTGTGTTTAGAGATGCAGCGTTCTACCACTGACTCAAAACCAAAGTCGTCATTGAACTCTCAGGAGAAGGACAACATGACTTGTAACTATCAGGGTCTTTTCCATGCCAGTAGCTGCATTTAACTGATTTTAGTATTAAACATATAGATATAGTAAACACTGATTATACATACTCATAGCTCAACTGCCTATAATCCACTTCCGTGCTGCATGTGGTGTGCCCTTCTTAATTTACTGCATAAAGCTTTCCTCTTCAGATGGCTGTAACCTCTTTGTGCTGCTTCTCTTGCCCGTTTGCCACAGTCCTCCCTGCTGGTTCACTAATCCTACCTCAGGGTGACTGTCTGTCTCAGATTTCCCCCTTGAGATATTTTTTTCACTTTCCTAGTCGGTCAGTGCTTCCTTGTGTCAAGGCTAAAATCACCTTTTTCAGTCTTCTTAATTATTCCATCATCATGCCCACATGTATTCAGTTTCCTGAGAACTTTTGAAGACACTGTAATATCTCCTCTAACTCCTGATTCCTTTATTGTTGTATAGTCTGTGGTTCTCCACTGGACTTAGAAAAGGGGTTAGTAAAAGCATGCTTCCTTAGTATTTGGGAGGTTAAGGAACTAGTTTGCAGCATTTAACTAATGTCTTAAAAAGTCATAGAATAACAAGTTTTAAATGTAGGTGTGTAGTATAGAAGATAAAAATATATATTAAAAATATAATGATAAAATGTAAAATAATTTAAAATATAAGTATAATAAATCTCCTGATGAAGAAACTGAGGCTCCTAAAGCTTAATGACTTAAAGAAATTAGTGGAGCTAGTCAGAGACAGCTCTTGGATCAATATTCATGTTTTCTATAAAATTTTATTTTTAAGCTGGGACTCAGTTGCTACTACTGCTTATCAACAGATTGTATGGGGCCTATTGGGCAAGACTGGTTCGTTCCTTGCACAAGGTATTTAGCATCCCTGGGATTGAATGTCAGTATCACCATCACGTGATAATAGTCAGTGTGATAAACAAACTCTCTGCCTTCCCATTGCCATCATGCCACCCTCTTTTAGCCCCAACCTGGAATGGCAGGAGTAGGAGTGCAGTAGTTGGGGCAGACCAAGAATGACTATACAAGCTGATAAATTATTAAAATATGTGAAAGCTATTTAAAAGACAGAGGATTGAGCTAAGATAGAGCATTGAAGAACCAAGGTAATTAGGTAATAAAAAATTAGCAAGGGCTTAGGTGGCCTGGAGGTATAAGAATGTCTCCCTTTGTGCTACAAGGGAGTGCTTGGGCATCTCAGAAAGTGTTGCCATCACCACAAGGCCATGTTGTAGACAGGGGAGTGAAAATAACCCTAGTGATACGTCAGCAATAGGACTTGAGATCTGAGTTCTGATTTTATCTTCTTTGTTAATCCTGCCAAATCTGGAAGAACACAGTTTGGTACCATGACAGTGGTCAAGAATACGGGAACATGATGTGGGCCAAAGACCCTGATGAAATCGAAGTTATAAAGTCAAGACTTGATTGAAGAGAGACGAGGAGCCCTAGTACAAAGGCTGAATGATATGAGCGGAAATTTTCTGTTAGCAACAGGCAAGGTTATTGTAGGCCACCAAGCCGTTCTAGCACTGAACTCCAGGAGTGGAGATGTGAGCCAGGCCCATTGCTCTGCAATAAGGACAGAGACGCATGTCTGTTATTCCATCTTCCTCAGAATTGGAAAAGATAAAGAGTTTTTTTGGCAAATTATTGAAGAGTATCTTTTATTAAATCAGTATTTCTTGATATTTTCCCATTGTCACCTAACAGTGGTATGGCCTTACCCCAATTTTGAAGACTAGTCTTGGTAGGTAAGGGTAGTATGTCTAACTTGTTTAACCCGTGCTCCTTTGGGTAAGTGTAAGATGCTATAAATGTTACATCCAATAGCAGAAAATTGCTCACCTTTAACATCTCATTATTATGGCTGTCACTTTATAAAGGTGTCTCATTGACATTTTAGGAGACTGAGGATTTGAATTTGAATGTAACTTTTTCCAGTTGGAATAATGGAAAATTGTCTTCTCGTTTGACATTTGAATAGAATGTCTGATTTTTTTTATAACTGGACTGTTGATATTAAGCAGGAAATGCTTGTATTTTAATTCCAATTTAAACGCATAGATTTACAAATAGTGGGAATGGGAGGGATAGGTAAGCTTAGTACTCAGGCAAGATGTCAAATAATCAGTGCTTAGTCTTGGCCATTAGTAATGTGCACTTTAGTTTTTAGAAATAAGAAAAGGCTTATGGTTTCTTGAACTAACTGTTCAAATTATTTTTTGAGTTGTT